TAAGTATTTGTGTGAATGCTGTGACTGTATCTGCATATGAAGTATAAAAGTGTGAACGTCATTGCTGCCGTGCGCATGCCTATGTGTGTATGTGTGGCGTGTCTTATTGTCTTCCTCATTCCATTGACGTTAAAAATTCGCCAATATATAAAGTAGTTTCATATTACTTTTAATTAATAGACTGGGTAATAAATATTTTCCGAGCCCTGCTACGGAGAGCTTCGCGAACGCGCGTCAGCACGCGTGAGGGGAATAGTGGTCGGGATCGAGAGACGAGCGAGACAGAGGAGAAGCGAGCCGTGCGAGAAACGTTCTCCCGTCCCTGGTCCCACGGTGTCTATGCCGGGTTCGGCTTTGAACGCGCCGCGAGTCCTACGCTTCTTACTCGTTTTCCATTTTGTCCCCTCGGAGAGACTCGCGCGTTCGCGTCGCTGACTCCGTTTCGTTCTTACTCGCTGTACGGAGAGGATTGGAAAGGAGAGTGAATGACCGGTGAATCAATCGAGTTCAAAGTTTTCCACAGTGTTTTATTGTACCGATCGCCAGTTGTACAGAGTCGGACTCTCGACCGAGTCGCGCTTCCACCGATCTCGTTTCTTCGTCGTTTCCGTTGCGTGCGTGTGTCTACGTGTCGACTCCGTGCGGATTCCGTCCAACGGTGTCCCACACCGGATTCGGATCGACGTTGACCGACCGATCGGTGCTCCTCGTCTCTTTCCCGTCCAACGCTCGATTCGATCGACGAATCGCGTGTCGTGTTGTGTCGACGCCGTCGACCGTCGACGTGCGAGAATCGAGTCTTCCGTGTCTCTGGTCTCCGCCCGACTAGTGGCGCCGCCTCTTTCTGTCGTCTGTCCTCTTCGTGTACGAATGCTCGCGCTCGCGCGTCACACCTACTCCCTGCGCGTCGGTTGAATCTCCACGGTGCGCCACTGGTCGGGCGTCCGAAACTCTCGTCGGTCTTCACCGCGCGGGGTCCGCGATGCTTCGCCGCTACCGAGAGAACGACGTGTTTCTCTCCGCGTTTCCTCTGTCGCGTTCGAGGCAATGACGCGTCATCTCCGTTTCGTTCGTCGTCGTCGTTGTCGTCGTTGTCGTCGTTGTCGTCGTTGTCGTCGTCGTCGTCGTTGCTCTTACGAACCGTTTTTCTTTCTTTCCGCGTTCGACGCTTAATATTTGTGTTTGTGTCTGTGTTTACGCGTCGACGGCGGCGACGGCGGGCTGTTGTTGGCGGGCGGTCTGCTGTGCTTCGAAGCGCGCGGCGGAGGTGGCGGTGACAACGACGGCGACCTGGCCCTCCTCTTCCGGTCGATTCGCTCGTTCGTCGGCGGCGAACGGCGTGACGCCCTCGACGAGAACGACGACGAGGGCGAAGGCGTTCGTCGAATCCGCGGCGGTGACGGCGTCGTCGGTACTCGTTTCTTCGCGTACGGAGATCGAGATCTTCGTTTCCCGCGTGAAGACGGCGGCAGAGGAGGCGGTGGCGCTGGAGGCGATCTGCTGCGCGATCTGTAACACGTCGTTCGGCTGGTTCCCGAGAGCTGGCTCGTTCTCGAACCCCGTGTCCCTACCCACCTCCCCCCCCCCGACACCGATACGCGCTCACGCGCGCGTCGACGCCCCGTATACTTACCGATATCTGCTGCTGCTGCTACTGCTGGTCGTCTGACCCTTGGACGACGAGGACGGCGGGCTCGTCGAACCTCGTCTTCGGTCTCTGTAGTGACAGGCGGCGGCGGCTGCCGCCGCGGCAACGGCAGCGGGCGACTCCGGAGTGGTGCTTCGTTTCTTTTCTCTTCGTCGATCGTCCTCGCGTTCCTCGCTCTTCGCCTCTTTCATCTCTCTTTCGCTCTGTGTCCAACGAATCGATCGAGATCAAACCACGGAGACAGAATATTTTTTTTTTTTTTGTTGCGTTTACCCTGTATCGGCGATCGTCCTTCGCTCGTCCCTCTCGGAACGATCTGTCGCGCGCGCACACGCGCGTGTCAACGCACCTTTCTTATCAGTTTCTTCCTGTAATGTTCCACTTGTCCTTGAATCGTCATGCCGGACTTCAACGTTCTTCTACCGCTTTCCAATTCGTCTTGATACTGCATCGTTTTCACTTCTATTTCGCGCAGACGGCTCCGTCGTTCCTCGTTCTGGTAGTCTCTGCCGCTGTCGCAACGTGACGAGATCCCTCGTGTTAATGTTTGTCCGTCGGCACGGTACGTCTTTTCTCTTTCCGATCCACCGATCGACCCTTTCGATCGATCGTTTCACGCTTTCGTTCGTTGCGTGCGAGGTGCGACGGTTCGGTGGTCTTTTCGACGGTTGGGTTTTCCGCGAGACCGGACCGCTGCCGATCGTTCGGCGACCGGCGGTCGGAATGAGAAAAGACGCGCACGTTTCTGCGACTGGTTACCTGGAATCCATACTGGTGTCCTGAGAGTTCGAGTCCTCGTTTTGACCTAGTTCTTCCCATTTGCTGGTCGTCATGGCTTGCGCTTCCACCTGGAACGATCGCGCGAAAGAATGAGTCAGCGTCTATACCTGTGTCGCGTTCGACGTCGTCGTCGTCGTCGTCGTCGTCGTCGACGTCGGTCACCTGATCGGGGTCGACGGTTTCCCAACGAGACGGTACGAAACCGGCGGGAACGGAGGACGGCTTCTTATCGTCCCCTCCTCCGTCTTTGCTTCGTACGTTCGTAGCGTCGTCTTCGTCCATGGGCACGCCGTCTATGTCTTCGTCCACTGTAACCGAAAACGATCCAACGATTTAACGTCGACTGGGATCGACTGGATGTGCGGGCTTCGAAACGCGTTCCTACTGGGTACACCGTCGATGTCGTCGTAGTTCGGCTTCGTCTGAGGCGTCAATCCGTGCTTCATGGCACCCTTCAGGAGAGCGGCACCGTCTAACGGTACCCCGTCCAAGTCTTCGGTCCCGTCTCCGTCCGCGTCCGACAAGGGTGCCCCGTCGATGTCGTCGTCCAGATTCTCTGGCTCCGGTTCGTCCATCTGCCGAAGAAGAATTTTCATTCGCGGTTGAACCGCACTCACACACGTGCGCGGCGACGTACGAACCGCCGATGGATCGCGCGCGTACGTGCGAGACCTTTCCCACCGTCACCGCGTGGACCACGTACCAGCAGAACCAGTCCGAGAAAAGTGTTTTGCAGTTTGACGAGAAAATCTCGTGGATAGACCGCCCAATCTTCCCACGCTCTGAACATTCTCATGACGCGGACTTTGAATCCTTCCGCCTTCAGCCTGCTGTCGAACTGTTTGCAAGCTTGATGGACCTCGCTGAATATGTCCAACAGTCTGGTTTCGAACCTGCGCAGAAAGACGCGTCCAACGAGTGAGAGTGTGGTGAGAGAACGACGATCACGACGCCGATGGTGGAACGAGGCTTACGCTTTCCTGTAAATGGTAGCGTTGTTCACTTTCACGCCGCAATTGTGTAGTATGTCGGATATGAGGTACAGCCTTGCTATCTTCTTGTTGACGGGCGTTTGCAGTATCGAGAGCGATTCCGAGATGCAGTCGCAAATTTCTTCTGCTGCTTCGGCGTGTTCTATGCAGAATACCATCGCTTCTGCGACTTTTATCCTTTCGGGCGATATGTTTCGCAACAGATCTTCCAATCGGTCTCGTTGGCTGTGCGACAGAGGGAACCGGAAATCGCGAGTGAGATCGAGTGAGATCGAGAAGAGACTACCGGAAGCGGAATGTAGTAGACGACGTCGAAATCGTGAGCTTCGGTCGATCGCTTCGACGTGCCGCGAAGTCCGACGGCCGTCCGCCGGTCCGTTCCGTCCCGGATGTCCGCTCGCGTCTAGTAGCCGTACGTTTGCATGCGTTACCTGTTCGACAAGCTGCCTCTTCTCGGTTCTTGTCTTTCCTCCATTTCGATCAATTCGTCGGGCATTCCTTGCGTCCACGGATTGATCGGAGGCGGTCTCCACACGCTGCCACCTTTGAACATCCGAAAATCTTCCGTGTGCCACTCCTTTTGTCCATCGCCTTGCAATATGGAATACAGCTTCCATCGATAATAAATGTGTGCCGGGGAATAATTCTCGAATAGAAATCTACGAAACGACGTGATTGCGGTGAGACAAACGGAACCGACCGTTCGGTGCGTGCGTCGCGTACGTGTGTGTACGAACCTGAACATGGGATTGTTCAATTCTCGGTTCATGATCATCGCCTCGAACATGGGGCCTTCTCTGATTACGAATTCCACCATTCTGTGTATCAACATGACTAAATTCCTGCAATCACGAACAGTTGGATGGGACATGATCGTACCCCGAGTCTGTCGAGTGAAAACGGTACCTTTCCGTTGGGATCACCACTTTGACGACCGCATTTTGCAAGATCTACGACCGTTCTCGTTCAACGGCGCAGTGGTAGCAGTACCAGCAGCAGCAGCAGCAGCAGCAGCAGCAATAGTAGCAGGAACAGCAGCAGTTGTTGTTTCATGAAACGGAGTTCAGGTCCAAAACCAGCCAGTTTCCCAGTCACGATCGTCATGACGTTCGTCGATGATCGTACGATACGATTTGTAACAGATAAATCATTATAAATAATTATTTGAATCGCGACGTACGCTGATGAGAAACGCGTGCGCGCGCTGATATGACGCGTGTAACGCGCCAAACACACGGTTGAATTGCGAAACGAGAGAGAGAGAGAGAGAGAGAGAGAGAGAGAGAGAGAGAGAGACAAGATTCCGGGGCGATGAATTCCGCGAGTCGAGTAGTTCTGCTGCGCTGTTCTGGAGCTTCGACGAAACGGACGGAACGGACGAAGAGAACGTTATTACCTTGTCGAAGTTTTCTTTTTCCTGAGGGTCCACAGTTTGAAGATTACGGACGCGCGGTATCTGGAATCGATACGTCACTCGCTTTTCTTTTTCCCTTCGGTGATCACTCCCCGGCATACACACACACACACACACACACACGTCGCCTGCACGAGTTGAATCGTCGATTCGTTCGACGTTTTCACTACGTACCTTGTGTCTGTCACGCCGATGCGGTTGAGCGTTGAATGGAAGCCCGGACGGCGGCGGTGGTTGCGTGATTTCCATCAGAGCGGGTGGTATGTAAATGGGATACGGTGGTATCGGTACGCTCTTTCCCCAACCTAACTTCATCTCGTACTGCATTATGTCCCGACCTAAATTCGATCACGATCAATTCGGAGATGCGAACGAGTGAAAAGGTGTCTACCATCCTACCACCCACCATCCTCCTCTTAGTCCGCGACGCGTCGTTCGCGAAAACGACGCCGATCGACACGGATGGCGAATAGTTTGATCGCAGTTTACAAATACGAAACGCTCGTTGACGTTCGTCGTACCGTTTAGATTCTTTAATGCTCGTTCCCCGTCCTTCCGACTCATAAATGCGACGAAGCCACAATTCCTTTGCCTGGCTTTCTCTTCGTCGCTGCGAGGCCACATGATTTTGATACTAGCCAATGGACCGTACTTGCCGAATATTTCCATCAACTGTTGTTCCGTGATCTGTTATCGGGCGATAAAAATTATGCGCTCGGAGAGTAAAATTAACGGGGAACGGAAGTGTGCTCACACTCCCGGAACCGTCGATACCATGAGAGGACACGTACCTTCGGATTTAAATTTCCCAAGTACAGGTTGGTGGTGTTCGGATCGCCATTATCGAACGATCCATCTGCGAAAGATAACGTTTCTCTTTATACTGTTCGAACGAAGCCGGCAGCGACGACGGCGGCGGTGTCGATAAACTGTTTTAGGACCGTCGACGAACCGAGCGAGTGCAAAGAGAAGAGGACGACGTTTTAAGGACAAGGTCGACACGGCCAAAAGGTGCGATCCGGCTTCCGGACATAGAAAGGTAGTCGGGGAAGGTAGACGAGGAAGCAAGAACGATCGTATGTTAGGTAGGACAGGCGAGTGTTAGCGCCGCGTAGCGAGTTACCTTCGACGGATTTCAAGGCCGCCAACATCGGATCTTCCGACGATGACGAAGATGACTGGGTCGAGATAACGTTCTTCACTACGCCTTTGTACTTGTGTCTCTCTTCCCGTTCCTCTTGTATCATTTTTAATTCTTCCTTGAACAGTTCGAGGTTGCTCTTCTTCTTTTCACCCTCTTTCTTCTTTTTCCCCAATCTGTCCAATTTCCTTTCGTTCGACCCTAACAATCTGGCATATTCTTGGGCTTGTTCGGCCGACGATCTGCTGTCGACGAGCTCCGATATTTTCGACTGAGGTTTGTAAAGCTTTCCCTTCTCCCGAGTGTCCTCCTGTCGCTTCCCCGCGTCGTAAGTTCCCGCTTTCACCCATACTTTACTCGTTGTTTTATTAGGAGTCTCTTGAAACGTCGCTACGAATTCCTCGAAAGCCTACGATCATCATGGTCGACACGCGTGTAATGAGAACGACGACGAAAACAATATTGGCATTCGCGTGTACGGGGTCACGAGATGTTAGGACACGATTAATAATTATTCTGATTATTATAATGGTTCTCACTTGAGCCGCTGCTTGTTCCTGTTCTTTCTTACGTTGTTCCTCCAGTTCTTTCTTACTCAACGGCCTTTTACCCATGGTCCCAATAGAAAATGCTTTCAGCTTTTGCTCAGCTATTTGCTGTCGAATCAACCACCACAGGGAACACCGGCAAACAGAACAAGAGTCCTCGTTAATCCACGCATGTACGACGTGCGAATTTCACGAATAAACGTATCCGATCCGACGACTTACCTTCATAATATTTACTTTCTCAGCCATTTTCGTTCACGCGATTCTAACCTGCAAAACGTCGATATCGCGATTTCGTTATTCTCCGATTCTGACAGGGGTGGTGATAGTGGCGGTACGTGGTTTCGACGAACGCGTAACAACATTCATTTCAAAGACAAATTCATCACCGGACTCCGAAAACCGGACAAACTTTATTCGCGACGTACCACGTACAGCCAGGTACTACAGACTGGGATCACGGGAGATTTTGTCGGAGTCTTGTCGATTCTTGTTCTAATCGTAATGTTACAAATCGTTGTCGAGATTGTCCAACTTACCTCTGTTATATCCTACTCGTGTGCTGTAGTATGCATTGAGGAAGAAACGTGCAGTGATTCACACCGAAATTCGATTCGCACGATTCGCACTAAACAGAGACACGTTCAAGCGTATCCGTAACTCATCGACATCGATTTTCACTTCTGCTACTAGAGACGTTCGAATTCTGATTTCGGTGAGCTCCGTATCGTTTTTACGAAGCTCGTGTATGCAAAATATCCTAATTATTTCTTCGCGTTTCGAACTCGACTAGTCCTCACGACCTCACCTGGCGATCCCTCACCGATCGACCACTGAACCAACAACAACGACAGTTATATTGCTCATCTCTGGTTTTAGCCAGCACGGCCACGATGTGACGATAAACCGTTTCGATGCCGTTTCGACACTGGTTTCGTCGTTTCGTCTTTCGACGCCGCCGCCGATACCCCTGGATACCCTCCTCAGTCTTTAACCTATAAGTTCGCGTTCACTGTTCCCTAACGAGAGGCGCTCAAATTCTTGAATTCTTCGAATTTTATGACACTACGACGCGACAACGGCATGGACAACGGTGACCTCACCAATCACCAGCCTACTACAGCACTGATTCTACGGTAGAATTTCTACCACGTACGCTCGTCACTGGAGCGATGCTGCCGCCCCGCTGACCACGCTGATTATGGCTCATGGCTGACTAATGGCTGCTAAGTGCTATAGTGCTATCTGCTATGGCTGACTGTGACTACGCGACTACGGGTACGGGAGCGATTACGCACACGTACACTGACTGACACCATTCCGCTGTCACCAACTTGACAAGCGTAAATGTGAGGTTAAGTGAATCCTGCTGCACGACGACACAACGATTAATAATAACGATACGAGTGTAAGGATAACGACGATTGCTACGTAGAAACGCCGAAGAATCGCAGATCGAACGAACTGGAGCGAACCACTGACTGGGCATAGCAGAGTTACGTAGCTACTCAACTACGGTAACGTACGATCGTACGTTTGCCTGCATCACAGATTGAATCCGCGAGCCGATCCAAGAACTCGGCCCAGCAGCGACGATGGTGTTGGACGTTGTACATTCTTCGATGTTGAAAATCATCGAGCCCTACAGAAAATGGATAATGGAAAATCCACAATTACTGTCGGAGGTGGAAAGCACGATTCAATGTCTACCTTATTTCACGGCTGGTTGGAAATGTTCAGTTTTCATATATTCTTTCGTTGTTCGTGTTTCGACGCCGCGTGAACGACCCGATGCACGACTACACATGAGTGTGATGCTCCGTCGTTGATTAGCCTGTCTGCGTCTGATGACTGACTTCTCGGTTTTTCATCAATCGCGCGCGATATTCGTAACGATGATGCTGAGGCGGCGGGAATACCTTCGTTCATCGTTCGTCTCCCTATAATCGTTTCTCTTTACTGCTCGTAGGTCGATTCAATAATTCCACTTTGGCATGGGAGTTGCTGTATGCTCTGTCCAACTTGATAGTACTTTTCAACGATCTGTTGATGTGCAGCGGAAAACGCGTGCACGTAAAGTTTTCTCGGTTCGAGTCGAAGATAAAAGTCTGGCTGACTGTGGTCGAATATACGGAAGCCCTTTTCGAGATTTCTGCGAAAAAGTTGTGGGGCCAGAGCGGCAAGTGGGCTATAATTGCCATTGTTCAAATATTTAAGTGAGTGTGTGTAGACGGCTGACTTGCCTTTTTCCCTGCCTGTGTATCCTCTACGCTGCTTTCTACCGTAGCGCTGACTCTAGCAGCTGATCGTCGTTTCACTCGCTCGCTTCCAATATAGTAGTCTTCTTTCTGTCCGTCTTCTATAGAACCGTGTTGAGACTTTTGTTGGTTCATTTGCACAAAGAACGTGTGACCAAAAGTCCGCCGATACAGCCCCTTGACAGAGAAAAATTAAAAGAGCCAGGGCAAGAGCAGGAACAGGAGCAGGGGCACCGGGAGTCCGCCGCCGCCGCCGCCGCCGGAAGACAACAAGGATTTATATTGAAACGATCTGGTACCATCGTTCGAAGTGTCAGAGGTGCCGGTTCTCCGTATACCCGCGTATGGGAACCTTTGTCGTCAGGCCTGCCGCTGGCAGTGGACGCGGCTAGCCACGAGTCGCGAGCAAACGGATCGTCTCCGCCGTCGGAAAGGAATTTGATATTGGCAGAGGTATACGTTGTACATTCGCCGCGTGCGTACATCGCGAGTCGTACGCATGGTCCGCCGGTTCGGTCGAACGGTTCCCTCCTGCCTTGTTGACGTCCTATCGTGCCTTGTCAAACTATCTTATTTTTGCAGAGTCTGTACGTCGTGAAACCGCTGTTCCATTTGGGATGTATGTCGTTGACTGGAGAGAAACGCTGGCCACCGTGGTTACTATCGCTCGCCATCGATCTGCTCAGGTATGAAGCGACAAACGCAGAGACGGCTAACAATGAGATATGTGGCGGTGGTGGTGGTGGTGTTGATATGTTGTTGACGAGTGACCGTGATCGACCAATGTGATTATCTTTTTACATGTTTTCTTACTCTCTTTCCAGTTTAAAGATCGTTAGCTTGGAGGTGGCGAGGAACGTGTCGCTTAGTAAAGCGGAGAAGAAAGAGATCTTTAGAAGAAGACTCGCGTTGCTTCTCTACATATTGAAATCACCGTTTTACGACAAGTACAGTAGCGTTAGGATAGAAACGATTCTTACCACGCTTTCTACCAAAGTGCCTCTGACGAAATTCGTGACGGACCCGATCAAGAATTATCTGCCGCATTGGCAGAACACATATTTCTATATGTGGTCGAGTTAACGTCGTCGTCGACGATGCGTCGAGACTGTGTAAGTTCAACGTTCATTTCTTTTCGACTATTGTCTCTCGGAGGTGGCTGGGTGGAATGGCGATGATTAAGGTGAACCAAGTTGCGACCAAGAGAATTTATCATAACGTTTAACGCGGTGTCGGATACATTCGTTAGAAAACGGTTACAAGTTCTCTCCTGACTGCGTAGGGAATGCGTAGCGAAACTATGTAGCCGCTGTATCGCGTCGTGATCGTTACGTCGGGTTTGGTTGACGACGACGACGAACGCATGTATACTACATGCATGCATGCATGCATGCATACATACATTAAATCACGATAACTTCAGATTAGGCTTTTTGATTGCTTCTTCCACTCTCCTTCCACTTCGCAGTATAATCTCTGTATACGTATCGTTTTGCAAATCATGAATCAACGGTAAGTTCGTGTTCCAGCACATGGGTAATCGCGCACGGATACGCCAAGCGGGCGCAGCCGCATCCGTTCGTAATGATTGCATGTGATGAACGAAAGTAGTTGCAGCGAAAAACAGGCAACGCGAGAACAAATATTTCAGATTTATACTGTACATGAAAAAGATGAATGGGGAATACGCTGTTCATTTCCGCCGCCCGGTAAGGATATCCCCGATCTCGTGTCTCGTCTGTCTCGGTGCTCCCGACTGATAGTAGTCCTGCCGCGTGAGCCTCCTCGCATGCGAAATCTATCCTAAATTACGTATGGCGATAAATTGCGAATATATATATATATATATATATATATTACAGTTTAAAGAGAATACAGCATAGGAATACAACAGGACGAAATACAAATATGGCCTTTGGAATTGAAAATCAGTTTCGATCGTCTCCTCTCCCCTTGTGCCTCTATTCGCACATTTGAAGTAACGAATTTATGGTTACATCCTTTTTCCCGTTGTTCGCGTCGTAAACGGATTTAATTACTTCCTTGTCCACGTTCGGGAACATCTCGGATATCTGCAAGTGCGTATAAGCGTTACATCGGCGACGACGACGACGACAACGAGTTTCGTCGCGTGGTACGTGAAGCGATGGCATGGTAGCAAAGATCGTGGTTGCTGCCGCTCTCGTTCGTTACCTGTTTCAATTCAACCTCGGCGTTTGGCATACAACTGGGGACAACGGGTGGCACTGCGGCTACACCGGGTGGCGCCGTGTAGACGTTGATGGGTGCGTACGGACGGGTCATGCCGAACATCGTCGCCGAAGGAACCATCATAAGTGGAGGTGTTGCACCCGCGTACGGATGGCACTTGGGCTGTCGAGGAACGTGAGAAGGATCGGTGCAGTCGGACATATTATTGTTATTACCATCGCTACTTGTACTGCTACTGCTACTGCTACTGCTACTACTACTATTACTAACACGATCATCGATCACGGACATTGCAATAGATTTTTACCAGAAAGCTAAAAACTAGATTTATCATTCCCTCTTGATTGTCTCCTTGTTTTCCACTGAGCATATACCAATCCTCGTGCGTCTCTCCTTTCTGAAGGACCTGCGATGGAATATCTATGTGACCCCATGCAATTAATTCGTCCATAACAAAGGAACATTCGTCATAAATTTCTACGTATATCTGTGATACTCCAGGTGGCAAATAGCTGGATGATAAAACAGAGAAAATAAATGCAAGAACGAACGTCATCGGGCGAATAAATGCGAGCGAACGCGTATAACGATACCGCCGCCGCCGCGCCGCGGTATTAAGCCATACCTACCATGCGATCACTTTGTTCCAATGTGGATTTTTCGCTCCGTTCGAACACGTGTGCGTTTCATAGACGGCATGGCCTACTCTTAGTCTTACGTACGGATCCATCCTCGTCATTCCATAGTTCTTCACTAATTTAGCCTACGCAGCAAACATCTTTTCATTATTCCACATATCACCGCTGCCGCACGTATCATTCGCACGACGATTCGCAATGAATCGCTCTCGATCTTTCGTCCCCTCCAACACTCACGGTTACCAGGCAGGCAGTTACCAGGTACCGACCACCACCACCACCACAACCACCACCAGGTATCATCCAGGTAATGTAATGATTATTATTGTCGGTTACCTGAACGATCGTTATGCTGAGTCTACCAACGTAACGTTCATGCATCGCAGGCATATTCTGCATTTGAAGCTGATGCAGTGCGAGCGCAGCTTGTTGATCCGCTGCTTCTTGCTGTTGCTGAGCATTTCGGTCAGCTGCCGCTGCTGCTGCAGCTGCTGCTGCCGCTGCGCCCAGCTGAAGAAATCCCTGAGGGAGCGGGCCAAGAAATGCCTGTGCAACAAATGTCTGAATTAGAAAATGATTGTGCGACTTGACCCAGTGTTGTCGATCGTTGCAGCTGGATCTCGTGTATCGTACGATCTGTATCACTTGGTTTTTGCTTGAGAATGAATTGCAACATTTCTGGTACACTAGTAAATACTTATTATCCATGAACCGTTACCCGTCTTTTCCATTCTTCATACAGATCTGATCGCCTGTCGGTCTCCATAATGATACAAGGACGACGATGACGACAACGAAGATGATAATGATGATGATGATGATGATAATGGCGACGGCGACGGCGACGACGACGACGACGACGACGACGACGACGATGACGGTATTATCCGAGAAGCTTTGCCCCTGAATATAAACGATCACTTCTCCTTAATACGTGTGTAGTAGATAGGCACGATGTATGTGGTTAGACGTAATTGCGGGATCTTTGATACAAGAGACGAGAGAAACCTGTGAAATTACGCGTAACGCGTATATAGATGACGTGCACGTATGCGTTTACAGCTGTCTCTACGTTTTAACCCCCGCGCTTACGATACACGTTATACGGACGAAACGAATAGAAATCTGTTATTCCCGATCCCGCGACTAAAACGTTTTCAAACGTTTTCCTTTCAGTTGTTTACAGTACATACTGTGTGCATGTATATACATGCACCTGCTGCTGATAACACACAGAAAAATGTTGCGGTTGCAGGTTGTTTCTTTTATTACGCTATGCAAACTGAACGGAGCTTCGAGTCGATCGCCAATCTCGCGAACTGATTGGTTCTCAGACAGGCGATTCGAATCCTTTTTGTACAATTTTATATTTTGTCAAATAAAACGGATATTCAATTCAATTAAATTCAATTCGAATCGAAAAATAAATATCGTGAGAACTTATCTGCTGGTTTTAAACTGATGATGCGATTTGAACTTGATTATAACTATATAATTTGCTTTAATTCCCCTAATGTAATTCATCTAATTGTCGAACCAGCTCAGAAATGAAACATCGTCGTCGCACCTTGGAACGCTATTTAGAATTATTTGACTCGTGTCGAAATACATAAACCGCGCGTTCTCTTATTATTATATTATATGTCTCTCTCTCTCTCTCTCTCTCTCTCTCTCTCTCTCTTTCTCTGCCTGGGCAAGGGGACATTTGTTGAATTTGTGGGTCGTTTGCCCGTGGTGTCTCATATGTATTGTTACACTTGCCGCTGGTTACGCTGGTCTGGCAATTCATTGCGCGTGATAATCAAAACCTATCGCGGCATTGTTCGTATATTTTATTTTACAACAAGTGTGCGATCGATTGGCAGGCAGCTCGACAGACAGGTATACTTTATATAATTCACGCGATTAAACGGAAAGACGCGCGTACTCGTGTTTTCGCTTCAAATGGTTTGGTACGACCGGATTAGGCGTGAGACAACGCTCGCTGCGAATCGTAGAAAGAATCACTGAATCACACTCCCGCTGCCGACAAGAGCAACGTAGAAGAACCGAACGAGAAAGAGAATCGTTCAAGCCGCGAATGCTGACGACCGGATACCGTGTCTGGCCAGAGCCTAGTCAACGGTAAACGTTGATTTCGCGATGAAGATCGTCAGCGACACGATGACTACTACAGTACGTTCCATGCTTGCATCTATGAACGCGGATGGAATTGAACACGGAACGGCCGCCCGTGCGCGCGCTTCGAAAATCAAAATCAATGTAGTCGTCTAACCTCGGGAACTTCACACCGGCTTTCCTCCGATTGCCCACGCCCTTAGTTACTAGTAGTGTGCCTCGTACTTCCGTCGCGAACGCATCCCTCGTGCAATCATCGTCTCTGCGTCCTTCTCTGTCCCTTACTTTGATCCCGTTTCACTATCTCTCTCTCTCTCTCTATCTGTCTCTCACACACAAGCGCGCGCCTTTCTGACGCTCTCTCTCTCTCTCTCTCTCTCTGTCGCCCTACTCTTCCCTTTTTCTCTCCTACCTCCACCTCCACGATATTCCCACCCCATTTGTTCGTTTACTGTCTTGCCTTCCGCGGCCGCTCCTTTCGTTGCGACTGCAACTTTTCTCCCCTTTTGCCTATAGATAAAAACCTGCTGCACGCATACGCATACGTATACGTGCCGTAGTTTTCTTTTATCAGTTTATTCAGTTTGCAATAATCGTTCGTTTATCCTTTCTCGCGCATTTACACACGTACGCGGGCACACAGACGTGTGATCGGTCTTTTCCAGATTCGCCGCCGCGTGTATCTCGCGCACGTCGCGCGTTGTCCGTCCATAGGTTCGCGAAGGGCTCGAGAGAGACTCCGAACATAACGGACAGGACACGGGGAACGTGCGATCGGTGAACAAAAATATTGGTCTCGTTGCAGCCTTGCGTTGGACGCGTGCGATGCGTAGATTTAGTTAAACGCCACCATCGCCACTGTGCAGGACCCTTCCGTCGTCACCGTCCCCACC